ATGAGGATAACCTAGAGATGATTCTTGGCTAACTTCCTAAAGAGTACCTAATTGCCTTTAGGTTTTCTGATTCTATCCTCTTCTTGGAAAATAATGACAATTGAGTTGATAAAAATGACTTATTTTGGAAAGACTGCAATCCTCTTTTAGCTGTTCCTGAAAGCCTAGAGATACATAGATGTCTGGAGAGTTTGATAAGAAAACCTCCCTTGTAAATACACAGAAGTGCTCATAATCTTAGTGATTTCTCTGATTTAAGATGTTTTGTCTATTGCAGAAACTTTACAAAGGGTGATTAGAGTTCATGTAAATGCTGAGGCTGAACTTACAGCCCAAGGCTTCATTTGCAGGTCCAGACATTCTTCACTCTGAGGTTCTTTATTACATTGAGGAGATTTAGCTGAGGAAGTTGTTGTTATTATTGTTGATGTTAATATTATCATCTTTTGTTAGAATTGAATGTTGAGGGATGGTGGGCTACAGCTTTTTCTTCACTGCCAAGTGAAGATCTTTAGGAATTACTGTCTATCTCTTTCATGGACGCACACTTTATTTGACAGGTATTATTTTACCTAAGGGTCTATTAAATAAATAGTTTGAAGACAAAGAAGAGGTTACACAACCTTATTTTCAGTTGCACATAATCTTTTTTCTCCCTAATTGAGTACATGCCTGTAAGTTCAGAGATCTTAATTCACAAAGCTATTTGGCTGCATTCCTACCTTCAGGCAGAATAATGGTTTTGTTGTCTTTACTGGGACAATTCATGTGCTTCAAGTTGAGTGCATGAGGAGAGAACTGGCTGAAGGCAGAGGGTTATCTCAACCTTTGTACAGAAGTTCTGCAGTATTTGTAAGAGGGAAGTCTGTTTGACCAAATGAGTTTTGTGTATGCAAGTTCAACAGCTTCTGCATCCAGGCCTAAAAGCCTGAAAAGTGTTTGTGTAGTCACTAAGTCCACCCAAATCCAAACGTATGAAGGTGTTTATGTACTCTCAGAAGCTGCAGTCAAAGTAAATTAATTCATATTTTTCTGCTCCTATATGTATTTTTTTCATGAGAATCACATTTCTGTCATGGTTAATGACTCATTTGTTGAAACAAATTCCAACCTGTTTTCTTCTGAAATTGCTTTCCAGGAAAAGCCTTGTATACAAGAACCTCCCTGCAGAACTCAAAATGCAGATCCCCCTACCCAAGCCACAAAAGTGCATGAAGCACATGGAGTAGAGGCTCTCAGGAGCCACAGTCACTGCCTTGCACAGCTGAAAACAGCCTGAGTCAGCAAACAAAATAGACCAAAATGGAAAACTGATGAGTTCTGTGAGAAATTCTACTTTGAAATTAAAACCAAAATCACGGCTGGTGGAGGAAACTGAGACAGAGATTGGATGTGTGTAAAAAGTGATTCACGTTGCAGTTGGGACAAAAGAATAGCAACTATTGGATATGGCACATGATACTTCTGGGTGAAGGGAAAGTGCTGAAAGAAAAATGTTGATTAGTAGATTACTGGAAAGTACAAAGAAAGCACATGATAATGGTGGTCAAAGAAGTGAAAAGATAGGCAGGGTAAGGTAACAGAGACATGCTGAAAGCCTCACAGTTGAACTGGAAGCTTCTACTGTGCTGGAAAGTCACAGAGGCTTTAAAAAAATAAATAACAGGAAAAATCTGAACCAAAAATGGAGCCATGAACAACAAAGACAGAAGAGTGCATATTACCAAGGTAGGACTGAAGAAGCCTGGTGATACATTTCAAAGAAGTTGTGACCAGGTTCATCTTCACCACATTTCAAAGGAACTGGGGAATGTGAACAATTTTCCCACTCTTGTGTTAAGAACAGAAGTTGAAAGCACAGGCTGCAGCCACCATGCTGAAAAATATAGAGCCAGCAAAGGGTGTCAGAAGAAAAGCTTCAAGAAATGGGAAGTAAATTAATATCTGTGAAGAAGTGATTGTGCCTAAAGAATGAGAAGGTGGAGTCAATGAGTTGATGCCTGTAATAAAGATCCCACACATTGGAGAGGTGTCCTTACTTTGTCCTGGGGAAAGTCGTCTGCAGTGATATTATACAAGGTGAAAGACACAGTGACTGTAGAATTTCAAGGAAAGCAAGCTGGATTTGGACTTGAAGAGATTATGTAAGGACTGGATGTTCATGTTGGAGATTGCCATGGAATGATAATTCTTGATGAAAGGCATCTTCTTTTGCCATTGCTTTAATTGACCTTCAAAAGTCATCACTTAGCATGAAGAGACTTACAGCGTAGGACACATCTGAGATCTGCAAGGTCCCAGAAAGATACAACAGAAACATGCACAGTGATGGAAGTGCTCAGCAAGGCACAGCAGCCAGTTCAGCCAGGAGACTGCTCAGAATAATTTCTGCTGCTGTTTGGCATGGGCTGACTATGGATGTGGGGTCAGGCTTCAGTATAGAATCTGTAGGTTGCCAGGCCATAGAGGGACAGGGCACTGAGTTATTGTGCAGTGGCTCTGAAAAGCTGGAAAGAAAGAAAAACCTGGCAAAGGTAGGTCAAGCTTAGACCCAAATTGATTAACTCAAATCCATCCTCCTTGTAACACAGATGTCATGTTAATGCAACATCCTGATAATTTGGAGGGCCCATATTTTCTTCCAGCAAAATCATCAAGAAGGAGGTGAGAAAAGGGTATATATTCATAGCACAAGTAAGTATGGCATAGAGAAATAGGAAAGAATGCAAACTCAATGCAATCCTGTGTCAATGTACAGCTGTGGGAACTGGAGATATCCCAAAGTGGCAGAGAGGAAAGTAGGTGCTTTTTCAAGATGAATGTTGGCACAAGACGATAAAATCTCCTTGTAAAATTGTGCTGAAAAATCCTCAAGCAGCAATCTGTCATTGCTGGTGTCAGAGAAAGTGCAGAGGCTTCATAAGTGGGTACTTCAAGTTAACATTTCTCAGCCAGTTTTAGATCACACCCTTCTTTGTGATAGCAACCTGTCTCATGATGTGTATGATCTATGCACTTACACAGAAGTGTGTTCACACAACAGGGTGAACACATGGTCAGCTTCTCATTACGAGAAGCCTTCAGTGCTTATATTTGATGTTAAAAATATAATTTCACATTAATTCAGGCACAGATCTGTCCTCACCAGCTCTTCCCACAGTTCTGCTGAGGTGGATGCAGACAAGTGTTGTGTCAGTGCACAGCAGCAGGTGTGCCTATCGTGGATTCATATGGCATCCCCAGCTTTCCAGATATCCTTCACCCTGCAAATCAGTGCCTGGGAGAGCATGTGCACATACACATTTCAGTGGGGGACATGGCAGGGGAGCATGGAGCAGAGGGGAAACTCACATGGAGCTTGTTCTGAAGGGACTAGGCATGGTGGCCACCAGGGCTTGGCCCCTCACCCACCCCTGTCCCATCCCCACAGGCTGAGGGGAGCCAGGACAAACACTAGGATGGAGGTGATCACTTCTTCCTCTTGTCCCACTATGCAAAAACTCCAGCTCACTGATCCTCAAGTGTGAGAGCACATGCTTTCAATGTCAGCATGGTTGGGATCATCTAAATCATGCGATACAGACTGAGGATGGAGAGAGCAAAATTCTCCAAGAAAGAAGATACCTTAATGGAGACAAGGTACAATTGACCTCAAGCTCAATGTGTTACTAAAATGCAACCAATGGCAAAGAGAAGTGAAAATAGTTCACACTGTGCACTGCGGGGAGGATGGGTGGATGAGGGTTCATAGTAGTCATGAATGATGAGCAGACCTTGAGGGTAATGTTCCCTTCAGAAAGTGACCTCATATCTAATGTAAACTCCCTATAGAGGTATGTAAACATTTTCACTGGCTGGAAAAGTGCATATACAACAGATTTTTCATCCCATAAAACCCCCAAGGCATAATGGAATGGAAACGTGCTATGTTTCATGTCAGGTTTGCACTATGCACTTCAATCTCCAGTGCCTGAAATAAGACAGGTCAGCACTACATTGTCTTTCAGCAAACCAGCTCCACCATGTTACCTGGCTGTGTGATAACTCAGGCCTTTCTCTCAAAACAATTAGCAGGGATTTTTAGGTTAAATAAGCCTAAATTGTATTTAAATCATTTGGCTGGCTGGATTTAAAAATTTTGTCACTGTTCAAATAACTTTCAGAATGCAGCACAGTAGGTGTTAAATCTCTGAAATTTATTTAATTGATTACTTTTCCCCCCCTCAACTTGCTGTTGGTGTGAAACCAGTGATTCCTATCAAAACTAAGCTGAATGTCGTTATGAAGGTCAACTGAAGACTCAGTCTCAGGTGTATTACATGAGTTCACTTAACATAAATAGCAAACCAGCAGTTGCCCCTTCCCAGACTGCCTTGAATGACAATGAGCTGTAGGTATTTGCTCAGTGTGGAGTAGGCAAATAACCAAAGGTGGGCACTAAAGCAGTAAAGGTCATTTGGGGCTTTTTTGTTAAAAGAGGAGGTTGGCCCATATATGATAAAGCCCAACACTAACCACACAGTTTGTACTACAGTTATTAAATTACCCTTTCCTGACTCATTTTTTTCACTGCTTGTCAAAAACCAGTTCCACTGAAACTACCACTTAAGTTTTGAGGCAAGGAATGCCAACTGTTTCCCATAAAGGAAACTTTTTTTCACTATCTAGGAAAATATAGTTTAAAGATACATACAGCAGCTAATTTTTTTTCCTGTAGCCAGCACTAACTACATCATGTCCATTTCCAATGCTGTCAATCATTATCTAACCAGCATATTGTTCAGAAGGTGGAGCTGTCAGGCAGAAGGAAGGAAAGGTAGGAAAAGGAAGGCTTCTGCTTTTTGCTGATGCCAAGGGTAAGTGAGATTATGCCAAACCTTTAAACAAAGTCCCCTTTCTCTGCCCCACCCCCTGCTCCTATATAACACATGCAGCAGTTAGCACTACCTGCTTTCACCCAGCTAGTGCTGGGGGTGAGTGGCTGCTTCTTGCCCCTGCTGATGGATGCTCTGGCCAGCAGCCCCCTTGGATGGCTCTGTGCAGGTGTCACCACACTCTTTGGGGTGACCACGCTCTGCACAGCCAAGAGGAGCCCTGTGGGGAGAGCAAACATGCTGGTCTGGAGCCTCCTGTCTGTGCTGCTGGGGCTGCTGTGCGTGGCCATGCTGGGTGCTGTAGTGGGGCTGGTGGTGTTTTTTGCCATGTGCCTCATCTCTGTGTACTTTGGCAGCAAAGTGCTGCTGCCCGTGGGTGACAAAGCTGTGCTCATCACAGGTAAGGTGCTGCAGGAAACAAAAACTGTCTTTTCTCACAAGTGGGTTGGAAAACTTTATGTCCTTAGGCTAGATATTTATAAAGTGCATGTTTGTAAGGGTTCCTTTTATTTCTTTTTTTTTTTTTTTTTTTTTTTTTGCTTGTTTTATTTGCTTTGGCAGAGATGGTTTTTTTTCCAGGTAAATAAGTGTTCTGAAATTAAGTAGAAAAGCATCTTAATAGATGCTATTATTTTTTAGTGTCTTCTTTAATCTTTACAAGTAGCTTTTTAGACATACTTGTGAAATCAACTGGTGCAAAAAGCATAAGAATACTTACGAGGGTCTAATTTTTTAGGAGAGACATTAATTTCTGGAAGCTCTCAGAACACTGCGTTCATGCATTACTTTCATTTACGTGACTTTATGGTGCTGGTTATGAATGTACAGTTATCTTTTGGGGGGTGTGTGTACACAGTGAACCCTGTGTATATCACACATATATTTCAAGACACTGGTTTGGTGCCATCTCTTTGAAAGGATGTACAAAATCATTTGGAAAGGGGTAATTCCCTTTACTAGCAGTGAAAGTTCAGTCTTTGTTAGTTAATTCAGTCTCTAGTAATACTCTAATCTACTCACAGCCTATGTTTATTTTGCAGGGAAGGCATTTTTGTAGTTTTATGGCTTTTCTCCCATTTCTTCTAAAACTTTAGATGTTGTTTATTTGCATTAAACCAACCTTTAAACTGGAGTGTCTGCCAACTGCTTCTTGCACTATTAATTTATTGGGTTTTGTTTTATTTTCTGGGGTTTTTTTTCCCTTCTGGAAAGCCAAAATAAGTTGCTTTGGTTTATATAGCAATTTCTTGCAGAATTTCATTTTGTTTTATTGGGACACCTGGAAATAATTTAGAATTGCTTATCTAAGTTTAATATGGGGATTAGATGCAAAAGTTGAGATAGGACAAGATGAGCAGCAAGTTCTCCCTTGCAGTTTATCTGCCAGTTGGGTTTCTCCTGCAGGTGTATCAAATGAAGATAAATATTGGTAGGGGAGAATAAGCAGAAATCCTTTCCCACCTCTGCAGGCTCAGAGGTTGCACTTGCACTTGAGCATCTCCTTGCTCTTTGTAAGACTGAAAATCTTTAGGAAAAAGCTCTGGGAGCTTACCTGTTCTGGAGAATCTGAATTAGAATGATAAAAGGGAGTGAAGAACATTTGGATATAATCCAGTAAGTGAATGTGTTTTCTTTGTACCTGTGCTGCAACTGTCCTGAAGAAATGCAAGTTTGGACATCTCTGGCAGTTGATTCATTTGAGAAGGCTCTTCTGTGACTTTATTTGAATCCTATGCAATCAATCAAACCCTCCATCAACTGGAACAAAAGTTTTGTTCAACATGTGCCTTGGTAAAATTGCTCTAATTGTAGTATTCTTTTCCATACCTACTTTAGGATGTGTGTCCATGTGTGTTTGCAGGCGCAAAGTGTCTTTAATAGATTTTGGTGTAATTTTCTCCAATTTAGACAAGACCTGAGGCAGGCACTGCATGGAAAATGGTAATTTTGAAATTTTTTCCCCTCACCCTTTCAGCCCCACAGGGTTGAGGAATGTGGCTCTGTTCTGAGCAGCTGCCACATATCACTTGAGACAGTTGCCTTTGGCCAGATGTTGGAGAAATCTGTGCTTCTCTCCCTGGATTTTGTCAATATATTGTGCTGGTTGTCTTTGGATGTTCCTTGTACAGGAGCTGCTGTGTGTTATTTTAGCTGGCAGTTCACTGGAGCACCAGGATAAGGGAAAACTGTGTCCAGTTGTCAAAATGCTTTTACACATGAATAACTGTAGGTATCTGAGCTGGCTTAAAGCCATTGCCAAAACTCTTCTATCGATCCTATTGCTTGGGAGCAAGTGCTTCAGTATCTTTAAACTGCAGCTCTTGGGCACGGGGACACTTTAGTGTAGTTTGGTAGACACAATAGCCACCTTCCCTAAAAATTAAATTACCACAGAGATCCGAAGTAACAGGAATGGTAAAATTCTGTCCTCATTTATTCTGTGTGCAGTGGGATTAATTTCTCCAGTTAATTTGGTCTTTTCATTCTTGTGTAGTTTGGTGTTTGAGACAATCACAAATTCTCAGCAATGATTCAGTTACAGTCAGTAGTGACTACCTTCCTTGTAATAAATCTTCTCAAAATTCACAAATCATTTTTGACAAAGAAGCAAGAGTGTGGTCGGGAGGGAATTACCTTTCTTTTCCCAATAGAGACCTATCTACTGTTTGATTTCTAGGAATTGAAGGGTAAAGTTTCTTTGGACTTCAATAACAGGTGTGAAACTCAAGTTAGACTTATTTTTAGAAAAAGCTGGGGACAAATCCAACACCAGGCAGATACAAACACTGCTTTTATTTTCTTCTTGGGATTGCCATCACCAATCCAAGCTAAAGCTGCTTTGTACTCTGCCCATTCTCAAGCTAAAACTGCCTTGTAAAACTAAAGTAATGTAGCTGTGGCTGTGTGCTTGCTGGGAAGGATGAAAGGGGAAGGGTTTGATCCAAAAGTAGTGTTTATGACTAAAAGAAAAAGAAGGAAAGACACCCTACTCTCAAACCCAAAAATCAGTTGTGTCTTTGGGATATTTGCAGGCCTTTTCATGTTTGTTTAGGGAATTCCAAGAATGCAGATATGTTCTTTCAGGTCTGGACTTGGAGAAACTTAATGTGATATATGTAGTGCTCTGGTGCATCTTCAGCAAATTGCAGACTTCAAAAATCCCAAAAAAGCTGCTTTTTCTTGGCCTTTTAAAAAAAGAATTAAATAGGGCATGAGTAATTCTTTTCTCCATCTTGCACTGATTGACCTAGGAATTTAGTATGTGTTTCTTTCAAGTCACCTGGAATTAATTTTTTTCACCTTTCAGGACTAAAGCCCCAGTTAAAAGACAGAATCCAGAAACTAAGACCTAACATGATTATGATGAGTCTCTTTGGCAGTCAAATTTTATTGACCACAGACTTTGTGTGTAGGAGCAGACCTGTGAATAACTGTGATAATATCTGCCCTGGTGTGCTGAAGTCACAGACCAACCCTTAGAAGTTTATAGTAGAGTTAAGTTGGGAGTACCACAGCTTTTTCACAAATGAGAAAATACTAAAAAACTGGCAAGAGTTCCAGTCCTTTGTCCCACACTGATTTTTCCAGCCATGCAGGTGTGTTTGGAATCTAAGCATTTGTGTAATGAATTGCTATTGCAGGAGATAGCTAATCCCTGAGATAGCTCCATGGATCTCAGTGCACATCAGCATCCAGGAGCTTTCTTCGCGGAATTAGCTGATGTGTCTCTGCTTTACAGTGTAAAAACTGCATTGATTTCTTAAACTCCTCATTTTCCTCCTGATATTGTCCTTTGCAAAACTCCTGAAGCACAGTCCCTATGAACTTCTTCCATGTCCCTAGCTGACTTCATTAGGTGCCTTGGTGGTTAAATGAGTGAAATGTTTCCTTCCTTACTAAGTTGGTTTCTCTGTAGATGGGAAGAATGAAGAGAAGGCTCTGAGGAGACCTTTAGGATCCCTTCTAGTGCCTAAAGGGGGGCTACAGTGGAGCTGGAGAGGGACTTTGGACAAGGGCATGGAGTTATAGGATAAGGGGCAATGGCTTTAAACTGAAGGAAGGCAGGGTTAGATTAGCTATTAGAAAGAAATTCTTCCCCATGAGGGTGGTGAGGCACTGACACAGGTTGCTCAGAGAAGCTTTGGCTGTCCCATCCCTACAAGTGTTCAAGGCCAGGTTGGACAAGGTATCAATGTCCATGGAAGGAGTTTGGAATGAGATGATATTTAAGGTCTCTTCCAACTTAAACCATTCTATGATTCATTCTATAGCAGCAGCAAAATACTATTTCAAAAGGAGAGACTTGCATATCAATCAGATCATTTGTTAAATAGTCCTCGTTGTTATCTGGTGGGAGGAATGGCACAACTGTGATAACTCTAATAGTGCCTCCTGCAGTTGGGAACTCATTACTTTATATAGACGAAGTTTGGGAATAAGTTTGGAAGAGGATAGAGAGGGTAAGAGAAATTTGGTTTGAATTTGCATGAATTAAATAGCTGCTGTTGTTTGACTTAGCATAAAAATGCCATTCTGAAGCTTTGTTAGGGTTTGAAAGCATTGAATTCCTTTGCATGTAAAGAAACAGTTGCTTAGCTTTGGCTTGATTACAGTCTGTGACAACGAAGTGCTTATCAGAAGGATCTGGATGGTAGAGATTTGAATAAAATAAATCTACTTTGAATTAAGAAATAGAAGCCAAGAATTTTAATTCCAATGCCCTGAAATTCATTTGTCCATCTGAGATTTCAAGTTAAAATATTAGAGGTTTTTCTGGTTTTGTTTTTTTTTTTTTTTCCTCTTAGATAAATTTGTTTTCAAGTTTCAGACTGCATATTTGTTTAAAACCAATCTACGGTTTTACTTCCTCTGTGTGTATGAAATAAGTCATAGAATCTGTCAGTGGCAGAGCATGAGCTGATTCCATCAGCTCTGAGCCAAGAGAACATGGTCTGTTAATCTTTGTGGAACATTCAAAGCTCCTCAAACCTTCAGATCTCAACCTTTCTTCCTACTGATGTACATACTTGAGGGACTTTGTCTTTTGGTTACATTTGCATGGATTTCCAATGTTTGTTGTTTTGATTTAATGATAGGACAGATCCACTTTTCAAGTGTCTTTTTGATGCTTCCAGGATGTGACAGCGGGATTGGACATGCACTGGCTAAATACCTGGATAGCTTAGGTTTTGTTGTGTTTGCTGGGGTTTTGAACGAGGATGGACCTGGAGCTGAGGAACTACAGCAGAGCTGTTCTTGGAGACTCTCTGTCCTGCAGCTGGATATAACCAATGCCACTCAAGTCAAGGAAGCCTATCTGAAAGTCTCAGAGAAGGTGCAAAATACAGGTACAGCTTTTATCCTGTTTTAATAGGGGTAGTAACATTGCTGCCTACAAGTGCCTCTCTTGACTGTTGGCTGCATCATGGCTTATGTGTGTAGGTCATTTCCATGGCAGAGTCTTGGGTGGTCAGAGGATTTATATTGATAACTCCTGCTTTCTGGGACATGGGAAAATGGTGATGACTGGAGTGGGGAATGTGCATCCACAGTGCAGATCATTTCTGCTTTTATCTGAAGTTATCATCCAGCTCATCAGTGTAATCCTTATGGAGCTGATTTCCTGTTGTGCTTTCTCCTCTTCCCAGGACTCTGGGGTGTTGTGAACAATGCTGGCATCCTGGGCTTCCCTGCTGATGGTGAGCTGCTCCCCATGAGTGCCTACAGGCAGTGCATGGAGGTGAACTTTTTTGGGGCTGTAAAGGTGTCCAAGACCTTCTTACCATTACTTCGGAAGTCCCAGGGCAGGCTGGTTAACATATCCAGTATGGCAGGTGAGATGAACTAAAGAACCACACAGATTTCTGGAGCAACAGAAAAACTAATGAACTTCCTTGGCAAAAATGCTGAGGAATATCAGTCAGTCTTGCTTGTCAATACACTCAGGAAATTAATATTTAGGTAATAAGCGCATGTTTTTCTTTTGGGAGATTCTTTCCAGAAAACTGCCTCTAAAGGAGAGTTTAATGTGTCTAAAACATGCTGTGACAGAAAAGACAGTAAAATTCAGATCTTGTGTTCTATGAGTGATAGCTTTGTGAGCTTCCAGAAAGATGGGTGGTACACCAGAGTTGTTTCTTCAACATGTTCAGGCACAAGTCTGTGATCACCTCAATTTGTGATGTCTGCTGATAACCTGGGAGCTGAAGAGATTGTGTCTTTATTTCTTTAAAAATACTTTGGATAACATCTTAAAAAGACTTAAGCCTACCTTATTAGCAAAGTGGGACTTTTTTCTCCATTAAAAAACCACAACCCTTTAAAGCAATCAACAGCATATGCTTTCCAGTTTTGTCCAGTAAACTGTGCTTACTATATATATATATATATATATGCCTTTATAACATGACCTTCTGTTCTAGGAGGACAGCTGAGATGCTAAGATGTAGGAACAAATGTAATACAGGATCTGGTAGCCAACAGCTGAGGAGCAAGAATGCTCCTTTGAAAATGAGACCTGCTACGAGCAGGATGTCATGCTGTGGGAAAGTATTTTGGTTTAAGTATTTACTGTATCATGTGCTTGCCTATTTTTTCTCTGCCTTCTCTGCTTGGACCCTCACTTCTGCACAGCTGGAGTCCACCTGAATCCTGCTGTATTGCTGGGGTGGCTTGTGAAGGTGTTACTTAGTGTTCACAGTTTATGCTGAGGATGTGGTTGCAGCCTAGCTCTGACACTGCCAACTCTGTTTTCTCTTTATAAACCCAAATATATTCTGTATCTGCTTGTGTCTGTTTATGGCTCATTGCTGGCACTTTGAGAAATCAGGACTGAGTTATCAGAAGGATCTTTCTGGCACTGCTCTGCCCACCAGCCCTTGCAAGCACAAAGGCTGAGGCCAGACCTCTGTTTCCTCTGAGCACCCAAGTGAAGCTTTCACTTTGGGTGTTTTAGGGCAGATGTCTTAATTCTCAGCATGAACCCCTGGGCTGCCTTGCAGGGATAAATGGAGAGCTTCCCTGTCCTGAGTAATTTGCCCTTACAGAAGTTGATAAATCATGCTCCTGCATGGATGCTATCTGCAGGGATGTTCTTGCATGCTGCCTGGTTTGGATGAATATCTTCCTCTTAACACAGGGTCTGAGGGTCCTTTGGTAAAACATTAGTGGAAAAGTTAGTGAAGTTTCATTGTGCCGAATCTATTACTGTCTGTGCAGAGCCCATTTAACTGGACTGGAGGTTAGTCTGACCTCAGAAGGGGACAAGTATGTGATTCAATTGGCTCAAGCCAATTGAAACTGCAGCTTCTTCAGATGCATACAGAAGAATAATTAACATATAGTTGGCCTGACTTCTTCAAAGGAATGGCTCTGTGTAAGAAGTTCCTGTAATACGCTGATCATCCTAGTACAGCACCAGTGGCTTACCTGAAAATTCCCCTGTATCCAAGGTATTTTCTTTTAAAAGACACAGACACATTGAGATAAATGTGTAATGTGTCAAACAGAGGAAGATGTGGCCAGCCCAACTGCCAATGCAGGCAGGAGAAGGAGGGATGTGCCTCAAGGATAAGGGCTGCCCAGTTCTGCTCTCTCCTCCCTGCTGTGCCAGCACAGCTTGTGGTAGCTGTGATGACTCTCACCCTGGCAGTGATGCTCTGTGTGGTGATAAAGAGAACTTTGAGGAGGAAGTGGTAGGGGCTGAAGAATGGGAAGATACTCAATCAAAGTGCCCTTGGATTTTTCTAAAGCTGAAGAAGTGACAGTCTGCCAGTTTTGGGGACAGAAGAAACCTCTGTATTTGGAAGACATTCTTTTCTGGAAGCTTTTTTTTGTAAACATCTGTATTTCTTTTCAATTCACCTAAAATACTGGCAGCTTTCTTACCTTTTTTCATCTGAACAAATGCTTCTGGGGTTGGAGAAGAAGAGATCTAGCTATAGGCAGTGGATCTGCTTCTATGATTTGTCTCAGGAAGTCCTGTAATCCACAGGTTGTGGGTCCAGCTTTGGTTTGTTCACAGAGGTTTTTCTCCACTCTTGCAATATTGTCTCTGGTCTTTCTGAAACTATCTGAAAAGAACAAGAAAACAAGTTTGCTTTGTAAAGCTAGGATTAGAATACTTGCCCTGTTTTAACTGTGGTTTATTGTAGGAGCTTGAAATCTGTGTTACAGTGACAAGAACAGGAGCATAAAACAATTGCTTCACTATTTATATGAACTAAAACATTACCTGTGTTTCTGAAGCCAACAGTCATGATTTTCAGCAGCTCTTACACTTACATGCAATGCAGTCTATTTTTCTGCCCTACAAGGTGTCTTTTCAGGTGGTACTGAGCATAACTGTTACAAGCAGCTGTTAATTTACAACTTTCACTCTTTTTTTTAACCTCTAGGAAGAAATGATTCCCTCACTGACTTGTCTTTAACCTCAGTGAGAGATGCATAATTTTTGTTGTGCTATAATCTTCCTTCTAAATCATGAAAATAAAGGCTGAAATCAGCCACTATCAAGGTTTATCATATTTATATTGCTCCTGCAGGAGGAATTCCACTACCAAGGTATGCTGCCTACAGTGCATCAAAAGCAGCTCTGTCCATGTTTTCTGGAGTAATGAGGCAAGAGCTTTCCAAATGGGGAATTAAAGTTGCTGCAATTCATCCATCAGGCTTCCAAACAGGTTGGTGTTTGACAGTTTGGGTTGTTCTTTCTGCCTCTCCTCT